TAATTCAAAATTGCCAAAATTATAAATTTCCTAATTTATCTATTGATTTGTGGTTAATATTGGTTCTCACAGTTACCACAAACTAATTAGTTCTCATTTGATTAGRCCCCTATATATATATATATATATATAGAGAGAGAGAGAGAGAGAGAGAAGAGAGATCAAATGAAAACCACTTCAATTTGTAAAAATCGTAAAAACTACTCTCATCCATCGTTAATCTTATGAAAATTTTTCATGAAATTGTTAATCTTGTGAAATTGTTTCATATAATAATTTTTTTGATGAAGTTGTTTCATATATGGTTATGAAATTGTTTCATATACTATTTAATGAAATTTTAATGAAACTGTTTCATGTATTTCTCTAAAATTAAAATAATGAAGATGATAATATCCATGATTAACACCCTCCACAATAAAAATGGTTGATCAACCTCTCATAATTACAAAAAAAATGAACAAAATGAAAAATTATGAATGGTTGAATGAGGTTTTCACGGTTTTTACAAATTGAGTGGTTTTTATTTGAACTCACCCTATATATATATATGATTGGTTGAAACACATGAAACATGGATATTATCATCCTTATTATTTTAATTTTAGAGAAATACATGAAACAGTTTCATTAAAATTTCATTAAATAGTATATGAAATAATTTCATAACCACATATGAAACAATTTCATAACCACATATGAAACAAATTCATCAAAAAAAGTATTATATGAAATAATTTCATAAGATTAAACAATTTCAAGAAAAAATTTCATAAGATTAAACAATGAAATCGACGTATGAGGGTGGTTTGTATGGTTTTTACAAATGAGGGTGATTTTCATTTGATCGCTCATCTTTCTCTCTCTTTATATATATATATATATATATACACCATATTATAAAATATTTAGGTTATTTTTGATAATTATAAGCTACCTTATTTTGAGTTTACTGTAAAAAAATTTGTTTGAATGGTCGCACTTGAAGTTGTGTTTCAATAGGCTCCATAAGCTTTTTATTACTTTATTTCAGTTATATATC